AAAAAAAAAAAAAAAAATTCAAACTCTTAGTAAACAAAAAATGAAAATCAAAACAAGAATTCATCTTATATCTCTCCAGTTAGAAAAGATTTAGGAAGACAGGAGTGCAATTGAGGGGAAAGACTAAAACTGGCACTTCTATACCTTGTGTCAAGGAACATACCTTGACACAATCATTTTGGAAAGACTATTGCCATAAGATATTTATATGCATTTTCTGGAATTAAATCAGTAGGTCCTTCCATCCTAAAGAATTTTCTAGTAATCAGAAAAAAAAAAGATCACATATGCAAAGTGTTCATTGTAGTACTTTTTAAAATAGCAAGAAATTGAAATAGCTTAAATAGGAATAGGGAGTTGGTGAAGTAAACTGTCCTACATCTGCATGATAGAATGTTGCATAGTTCTTAAAATGGCTTTTATCAATACTTTGTAACAACAGTGAATAACACATTTAAATAACACATGAAAAAAATATTGTAATATCACATAGGAAAAAAATCAGAGTACTGATTCTCATTCACTATAGAATTAGTAAATTTTTCTTTGTATTTTTACTAGTATTTTCTACATTTTCTATAATGACTAATAATTTTATAGCTGAGTAAAAATTTATCGTAAAGATGTATTGCAACCAATTTTTTATTCATGACAACTTAATAGTTAATGTATATTGTGCTTATTAAAAGTTTTCTTTTTACAAATTGATGGCACACATAAATAATAAGTTAAACATTTGGAGTTTAAATTCCTAAAAAAGACTCAGCAAGTACGAATTACAAACAGACCTAAGTAAATAATCACCAAGTGAGCAGTCACTGAGGCCACCTGGCAGGCAGGTTCACAGCACAGGTAAAAAGAGAGATGTTTATTACAGCTCTGCCCTTGGCCAGCTAGGGGGTCATAGAAAAAGTAATTTATTTCTCTGAGCCTCAGTTCATCATCTCAAATAGAGACACCACCACCTACCCCCCAGGAGGCCTAGCATCATATCAAATAGTAAATAAACACTTGGTAATTGGTAACTATTATTATTACCAACTCTGGAAAAAAGAAAACGGCCTGTTTCTCTTATTCTAGTATATTCTCTGTTTGTTGTAAACACAGTCTAATTTATTTCGCCAGTAAGCATACTTAAATGTATATAGGGGACCGATGATTTTTGCACACTTCAGTACTTGGATATTAGTATTAATTACATGTAGTAGAATAGTCTACTATAGAGATTGAACTTTCTGTATGGCAGTATAAATGTTTTTTTTGTTGTCCTAGCAATTTGTGGGAACAAAAACCATATTTCTGGGATGCCTGGCTGGTTCAGTCAGTAGAAAGTGCAACTCTTGATCTCGGGGTTGTGAGTTCAAACCCCACATTGGGTGTAGAGATTACTTAAAAAATAAAATTAAAAAAAAAAGATATTTTTTTGATGCTGAAAGTAATACATACTCAGTGAAAAAAGAGAAAATTATAAAGAAGAAAGTAAGTGTCTCCTATGTTAACTATTAACCTTTTGAAATAGGCCTTTCCAGGTCCCACTCCACCTACCCACATAATATCTATATGTGTGTAATTATAATACAACATGTTTTTAACATTGATTTCATCTTTACATACTTATTTATCACCTACTCTTTCAATTAATATATAGTGCAATGAGCTCATGTCATTGAGCTCTGTCATTAAATATAGACCTATTTTTATGTAAATTCACATGGTTCAAAACTCAAAGCAATTTAAGAAGATACGCAGTAGGGCGCCTGGGTGGCTCAGTTGGTTGAGCGACTGCCTTCGGCTCAGGTCATGATCCTGGAATCCCTGGATCGAGTCCCGCATCAGGCTCCCTGCTCGGCAGGGGGTCTGCTTTGCCCTCTGACCCTATCCCCTCTCATGTGTTCTCTTTCATTCTCTGTCTCTCAAATAAATAAATAAAATCTTTAAAAAAAAAAGAAGATATGCAGTAAAAAGTCTCCCATCCTTGCCTCCATCTACCCTCTCTCTAAACGTCACCCCCCCATAATCTGTTTTATTTTTCTTGTGGGATCCTTTCAGAGTTTCACAAATAAAAACAAATATATAATGTTATTCCCACCTTTCTCTCCCCCTTTTTTAAACAATAACAGCAAAAAAAAGGGTAGCAAATGATGTTTTTTTTCTGCAAATTGGATAAAATCACTTTTAATGGATGTTCAGTGTTCAGTGAGTGCACTAATTTATATAACCAATTGTCTATTATTAATTTGATTTTTCCCAGATTTTTGATGTTATTCAACACTGTAAATCACATTCTTGTACATACCTCTTTATATAATTGACATATTATTCTCTTAGGATAAATTCCTAATGTGTAATTGTTGATGCAATGAGTATTTTTATTTAAAATTTTGATGTCATATCACTTAGGCACCATTCAGGAAAGCTGTACAAATTTATGCCCCATCTATATTTATATATCTCAATCATTGTGTTTGTATAGAGAGGATAGATATATTCATACACACTCATATTTCCACATTCCCCCACTCATGCTCTAAGGTACTCTTTTTAACCTTTGAAGCCTTTTAAAGGAACATGATAAAATGCTGACTACTTTGCTATAGGCCTTTTGTGTAGAGAAAATCCTGACCAGTGCTAATGAAGGAACGGTGTCTTTGTGATGAGGATCTCAGACTCTCCTTAAATTACAATATGGTGTCACTTGAGTAGATTCCTTCATTGCCTGAATTTTACAAAAGCTGTTTTGGCTCTAAAGATACTTATTACATGATCCTGGTAAGATGTTCTTTTTGATTTGATAGAAAATTCGTGAGGTTTAGCAAAAATGGTATATGCCTGAAGGTTAACTTATAAGAAATGAATATATATTGGGTACATTGGTCATTTTAATGTTCCTCTTACCTTTGTGTGATTATAATCCTATATCACTGAAAATTCTCTAGAAATTTTCTGGCTTTGTAGACAGTCTGATAAAATTATTCACAATAATATACTTGTATTTAGAACTTACATGCTGATTACAGTAAGAAGTATGAGGATTTGTTCAGTTAGATTTAAATTATATTATTTTACCTATGTATTTACAGTGTTAAATAATCACTAGATTCAGTGGAGTAAAATGACAAATTCTTTTTCTTCTTGAATGATGCAGAATTCTCCAAAACACCAGTGGGGAGAAGAGGAACCAAACTCTCAGACGGTAATAAATATTTACCCTGTCTGGGTATACATTAAATTCTTCAATTTCTGATGGGTAATAATATTAATAATAATAGCTTTAAGAAATATAAATGAATAAGAGTTTGGTTACAGGGAAAGCAAGAACTACATGTTGTTCTTTTTTTCTTATAATTTGTTTTTCCTTCTTTCCCCTTCCTTTAGGAAAAAGATCATAATAGTGAAGATGAGGATGAAGATAAATATGCAGATGATATTGACATGCCTGGACAGAACTTTGACTCTAAGAGACGAATTACTGTCCGGAATCTCAGGATTCGAGAAGATATTGCAAAAGTAAGCCTTGCCAACTTAACATACACATTCAAAAAATGTTTGTCTTCCCACCCCAAATTTTGTCTACTCATCTGGTATCTGGACAGTATATAGGTGATATAGGCCATTTTTCTCTTCGTCTATACCTCGGAAATGCATACACACATGGAATGATCATGATTAACTCCTTTGCTTAATCTGCTGAAATCTTTTTGGACAGAAGTAAACATTAATGCAGCCTTAAAACATTTTCCCTTCTAGTATTTGCGGAATTTAGATCCAAATTCTGCTTACTATGATCCCAAAACTAGAGCGATGAGAGAGAATCCCTATGCCAACGCAGGAAAGAATCCAGATGAGTAAGTATCAAGTTAAATGTATAGATTTCAAGGTGGGGGATGAGAGTTTTTAATCATAAAACTGAATCTGAGTTAAAATGAACATCATCTGTGGTTGGGTCAGAAAAGAATTAACTTTCCTTAAAGAAAAATTTGTTTTTTATTTATTTTTTATTTTTATTTTATTTTTTTATTTTCATTAGTCCAGCTTCATCTTTAAT